GACAGAAACTCCCACAGGCAGAACATGACATGTGCAGAACAGCCTCCAAGCAAATATGGAGCTGGTGAGAATAGACTCCAGGCAATTGGCAACTTCTTTGAAAGTGCCTCCAGACAATGAGTGACTTGCTCGAAATCGCCTCCAGGCAAAGTGTAACTTACTCCGCAATCGCCTCCAGGCAAAGTGTGACTTGTGGGAGAATGCCTCCAAGGAGAGATCAACTTGTGACGGATTGTCTCCAGGCAGATTGGAGCATATGCAAATAAATGAAATTGTTTTTTGGGTATTTACAAGATGTGTACAAAACGGCTGGAGGCATCCTTCAAAGGGGAGAGGACATGAATTGCCTGGAGGCGTGGCCGGATTCCTCCAGGCGTGGCCGGGTTCCTCCAGGCATGGCCGGGTGCCTCCAGGCGGCGCCGGACTCGCCGGACGGGTTGGTCACAGTATGACAGCCGCCCTCGAGAACGGCACAACACTGGCCACAACGCCACTCAGCGTCCGGCAGTCCCCGCATCTTCCGTCTCAAGAGGATCAACCAAACTCGAACTTGTATCTTGTTTCTTCGTCAGCTTCTAGCAGAGAGCACTAATGCCTGCAAGGCGTGCATGACGGCCGCTGTATTTTCTGGTGAATTCTCAATGGGAAGCTACTATCTTTGCTTCTTTCTGAGGGCATGTACTTACTTAGCACGACTCGGAGTTTGCATCGCTGGCTGCTACCGACATTCGACTTGGGATTGGCACCTCGCTCTATTCATACTGTGAACTTGGAAGAAGCTTAAATTGCCCGTTAATCTGACTCCAGCAGATACACTGAAGCAGCCTGAGCCTCAACTTGTGACAATCTGTCATTTCAAGCCACCGGCATGGAGAAATGTCCGATTCTCGTCAAGCCTTCCGCGGCAAACGGGTTTTGACGGTACGTTTCTCCTCCTTCTTGATGGTCTTTGACTACTCGAAGTGCACTCATGACTGAAATTCACGTTTATAGGTTGTCCTTCTCATTGCTTCCTCCCCTTAGGCCTTTGTCAAACGACACAGCGTTAATCGCTTCGTACTATTCGCAACTCAGGAAGCAAAGTTTCAGGCCCTCCTTCCAGGCTGAAACAGCGCTCAAGCGTAAGAGGCCAACCGTGTAGAGAACCAATGGTGCGTCGCCATGTTTGAGTGTATTGAGGGGCTGACATCTTTGACTTGGAACGCGATTGTATTGGTCGATCCTTCTTTGTCGGTCCAATGTCGAGCGAAAGCTAGTCCCCCCGACTTTACCTTCCAACATCAGCCGGTCCTCGGCGTCGTCGTGTAGGTAGGGCGTCTTGTATGTGGACTGTTCATGAAGTACACGAGAAGCCAATCCTCTTGGCCATGATTCACCACAGCGTTCAGCGTAAGCTTTCCGCTTTCGTTATGCATGACCTCGGACAGTGTGGTAAAAAATATTCTATTGGTCGAAGAGCGCGGAAACGAGTGAGTCATGCATTCGTCTCATTGGCCGTGCATTGGTTAATAGGTAGAATCATACAAGCTTGCATTGCGGGAGCTCTCGGGTCCTGTGGAAGAGCTTCATCGATTTCACGTATAAATACGAGCAAAGCCTTTCGATTTACCCTAGTTCGCCAACCACTCACTCTACCCTCATCGATTCCAACTCCATCTCGAGGCTCACACAATGTCCACGGTGAACTCCATCACTAAGAAGAAAGTGGGGCTGTTTGCTATCCAAGACACAGGCGCTCCTGGTGGTCGCAGCGACTACAAAACTCTCGTCATTGTGCACGGAACAGCGTCTCCTGGTGGTGAGCTCCGGATATTCTACAGCCTGGCTTCTTTCAAGAAAGCTCATTAGTCTGCATCAGACATATTTTACCGCCTCTTACCTTTTGCTCCCCACTACAACACTCGTATCATACTCGTTAATCGTCGTGATTATCCCGGATCGACGCCGCTCACTGACTCCGAGCGTCAACTTTTGGCTTCTGCCCTCTCCGATACGGCCGAGGCTGCTGAAAACATTCGGTCTTACATGAAGGATCGCGCTAGAGAGTTATACGACTTCCTCTGCGAGTTCGCTATATCGGAAGATATTCCGAAGATCTCTGGGCAACGTGGGATAACACTGGTGGGGTGGTCTTTGGGAGCGACATTTGTCACCGCCCTTCTGGCTCATCTGGAAACGTTCGAGGGAGATCAGTTGACCTTACGGGCATACCTCAACAAGTTTATTCTCTTAGGTATGGGCATGTATTATTTCTGTTATTCACATCACTTCAGTCCATCTCTGCACCAACTCATATGAACTATTCGCGTTAGATCCATCCTATGGCGTCTTAGGCTTCCCTCATCATGAAAGCGTCCGCATGCCTATAGAGGACCCCACTTTTACCGGTGCCAGTGAAGAGGTTGTCGCATGGATCACGGGCTACTACGACCACTCCTTGCCTCCTTCATACCCCTCCACTCCATTGACCGACCCCAAACTCGAACTCAGCCATACGCCGCTCGCCAGTCCTCCACCTACGATCACGGCCATTCCTCCTGAAGAGCTTCAGACCGTGTTTTACGCACCGCCCGCTATGCCCGACGGTTCAGACATGATGCTCTACACCGCCGGGCAGCAGCTTGGTTTATTCGAGGACATGAGAAGGAAGGCGATTTATGTCACGTCCTCGGAAGACGTGACAGTGGAAGGGAAAAAATGGAGGGAGAGTGTCGATGTTAGGGTCATATGGTGCGATCGTACAGTGTGGGGGATGCCTTGGGGTATTCCCAAGCTATATAGAGAGATTGAGGATGCGAAGGCGAGGAAAGAACTGAGGGTCGGGAAGGTCAGTCTTGTGAGGATGAGAGGGTCGAATCATTACGTGCGTGCATCTGCTTACCCTGATAAGACACCGTTCATTTACGACACTAAATGACATATCATACTCACAGGTTCATTGGGACGAACCTGAGCGAACGTTGCGCGCCCTTTTGGCCGAGGATGGTGCCCAAGAAGCGTAACAACGAGTCCGTCAATCGGTATGTCCTGTTCAATTTATTTCGGAACGAGTGATGATTACTCATGGAGACCAACGCGGATGTAATCGCACTTGCGTTTCTTCGCTCCAGTTTTTGATCTCGTCCTTGACGCACGGTCCGACTCATAATAACCCATCAATTCAAGACGACCGTTGTCGGGCGTCTAGTTTTCTTATTCTGCGGGTCCCATGTAGTGCTTCAGGATGTATCTAAATTGTACATAGAAATATCAGAATTCCAATCACCGCTCATTCGACAAGTGCCACAGTTGCCACAGCTGCCACACAATTTTCGCCGAATTCGAAGGCCGATCAACTTCCGCGGCGGTTGCCGTGAGCGTAAGTTAAAATCGCTTTCTGATTTTTTTTTGGGTGTAAAAACGTTCTCTGATGTTCTTTCTATAGACCTCAATTTTTACTCGTAAAATCCGACTTCCTTTCCCCCGAACAAAACGGAATGGCGAGTAGCACGGGGGTGACTGGATCTCTCATCATCGAATTTACCCATGTCGCAAAACTTGCATTTGGCTGGTCAGCCATAGCGAAGCCTGATAGCAGTCATAATGCCTGAACAGGGAGCGTGCATGACCGGACCAGCCCACATCGGGCCTGAGCAGGGCTGAGCAAGGCTGGTGCGGGCTGGTCATCTTGAAGTCGTCTGCTGAACAGAGCTGAGCAGGACTGGCAAGGACTGGTCATTTTGGAGCCATCGGCTGAGCAGGGCTGATCCTGGCTAATAATGTCTGTACATAGCTCTGATGCCATTGGCCAGTGCTGAAGAGGCCTGACCATGTCTGATCGCTGAAATAGTATACTGGACTACAGGGACCTTGCCAGGCCGCCTCGACCTCAAGAGAGGGAAGATGAGGGGTGAAAGATCTGGCGGAGCATTGTGGGCATGCATTTCGCGCCACGAAAGACCACGATATATTTAGAGCATTTCCAGTATAGACCACTCCGCGATGACGCAGTGGTCTGTTTCGCGACTCCAACGCAAGGACGTGAGCAGCATAACACAAGTCGGGTGTTCGAATCCCTCGCTGGCCTGATACTTGTGGTCTATAAGAGACTTCTAGCGAGTACAATTCGTAAGGAAAGTAAGGAATAAAGGTAAGAGCACTACATGAGTAAGAAAAGGATACTACAGAGGGGTACAAGGAGAGG